GGGGGAGGAGGAGGAGGAGGAGGAGGACGAGGAGGAGGAGGAGGAGGAGGAGGAGGAGCAGGTTGAGGGTGGAGCAGGAGGAGGAGGAGTGGGATGAGGAGGGTGGAGTATTGAAACACACAACACGGAGGTCGTTGACCTACATGTTTGGAGCTCCGCGCGTATTTCTTGGACCGGCGCCTGCGCCCCCCCCCCCCCTGGTGGCGCCTCTGGCGCCGCTCCTGGCGCGCTCAGCGCACCAGGGAGGGGAGGGGGCTTTGCTTGTTTATTTCCCTTTCCAGGGGGGACAAGGATGGGGGTGATGAGGAGGAGGGGGAGGAGGAGGGGGAGGATAACGAGGACCAGCGTACATCCAACGCACATTAACGTTGTTGCAGTACACCCTCTCTCCTCCACATCCCCTTGTCATAGTTCCTACAATTACTTGTTTTCATTGCGGGCATTGCCTCGTTGGTAGACCTGTCTAAGAATCTGCAGTCGCGTCAAGGTGCACCTTCTGTGCCTTCAGCGCCGCGACTCAACGTGACTTCTTCGTCCTGACAAGCCTTAATCGTGCCAGCATAGCATGCCGTTCGTGTGATTCGAGCACCGCGAATTAAATAGACTGTTGCTATCCGACAGTCCTGAATCTTGCCAGATGCAAGTTCTGGAATGTTCACCCTACGACTCCACCAACCTGTAGCGAGTTGTCAACCGAATGCGCGCGGCGCTATGGCGAGAGCCACATGTTGGAAAGGAACCGCCCTCCGTCCGTGAAACTGCTGCAAACTTTAAAGGCAAGACGCATGTGCGCAGCGCTAAGGCGAGAGCGAGAGCCAGATTCTGGAAATTAGCCGCCCTCCATCCTTGGAGTTGCTGCAAACTTTGACTACGATTGGGCGCGTAACCAGCCGCCCTCCATCCTTGAATCAGATGCAGCTTTTAGGCTTCAGGATCGGACACGATGACATCTCAGGCTAAACGCCCGTCCCGCCGTACCGACACGTCTGGGGGTGCGACGGGGCGGGGTTATCTAGAAGGGGACGAGTTGGAGGAGGAGAAGGAGAAGAAGGAGGATGAGGAGTGGGAAACGGAGAAGGAGGGGGAGGAGAAGCGGGGCAGAGAGGAGGATGAGTTGGAAAAGGAAGAGGGTGTGTTGGAAACGCTGGAAGGAGGAGGAGGATGAGGACGATGAGGAGGATGATGAGGAATATTAACATTAGTAGTTGTACTAACAAGACGCAGGTTACGAAGCTGAGGAATACTAACGATGATAAGACGAACAAGACGAGGAGGATCAGGTGGAGGAGGAGAAGGAGGAGGAGGATAAGGTGGGGGAGGAGGAGGATGAGAAAACGGAGGAGGAGGAGAAGGAGGAGGAGGGTTGTCGTGATGATGACGATGATGATGCTGATGATGCTGATACTGCTGCTCACGATGGTGAGTCTGGTGATTATGAGCATGCTCATGTCGTTGCTGATTATACTTGTGATGCAACTGCTGATGCCCATCGTGATGATGCTGCTGGTGATGATGCTGATGATGTTGATGCTGGTGCTGATGATGATGGCGATGCTGCTGCTGATGATGATTAGGATGTGGACATCGACGCTGGTAATGATATTTCATCTAGGAAACCCCAATCAGTGAATGATACGAACATTAGTCATATGGATCTTGAGATCGATTGTGATGTCGATAATGAGATCGATAGTGTAATCGATAGTTGACGATTGTAAGGTCGATCGTGAGACGGAGAGTGAAATCGATTCAATGAGATCGATAGGGAGATCAATCGCGAGATCGCTCGTGAGATCTCTAGTAAGATCGCTTGCGAGATCGATTGTGAGATCGATTGTGAGATCGATGGTGAGATCGATAGAGAGGTGGGAAATGAGATCGATGCTGAGACCGATCGATAAGAGGATCGACCAGGAACCCGGAAACCTGGGAACCTCGCCGCCCACACCGAAATCGGCCCGGGAACCGGGAACCCGGGAACCCGCAATAGGGAACCCGGGAACCCGGCCTGCCACCACAATCTGCGTGAAACATTCGTCTTCTCTTTCAATATCTGCTAGGACCCCTTCAGTGCAAGCACTGATTGGGGAATATCCGCTAGGACCCCTTCAGTGCAAGCACTGATTGGGGAAATTCTAATGATAATACTGTTAATGATGTTGATGCTGATGATGATGCTGATGCTGATGATGCTGACGATGGTGATGATAATGCTGATCATGATGATGATGATGATGATGATGATGATGATGATGATGATGATGATGATGATGCTGATGATGCTGATGATGATGATGATGATTCTGATACTGATACTGATGCTGGTGCTGGTGATGATGACGATGATGGTGGTGGTGGTGATGATGACGATGGCGACGGCGATGACGATGACGATGACGATGACGATGACAACGACGACGTCGACGCAGATGATGGTGATGATGCTGATGATGATGATGGTGATGATGCTAATGATGGTGATACTGAGTGTGATGGTGATGGTGATGGTGATGATGCTGATGATGATGAAAAACATGCTGATGACGATCACGATGATGCTGAGGATGAGGGTGAGGATGAGTATACTGATGAGGGTGAGGATGAACATGAGGAGGATGAGGATGCTGCTGATGATGAGGATACCGGTGATGCTGATGCTGATACTGATGAGGTTGTTGTTGATGATATGATGGTGCGTATGATGATGCTGATGATGGTGATGCAGATTATGCTGATGATGTTGATGATGATGATGGTGCTCCTGCTGCTGATGTTGATGCTGCTGATGATGATGAGGACGAGGATGATGGTGATGCTGATGCTGCTGATGATGATGATGATGCTGATGATGATGATAATGCTGATGATGATGATGATGATACAGATGATGCTGCTGCTGATGATGATGACGATGCTGCTGCTGCTGTTGATGATGATGCTGATGATGCTGATAATGGTGAGGATGCTGATGATGACGATGATGATGATGCTGATGATGATGATGATGATGATGATGATGATGAGGATGAGGATGAGGAGGAGGAGGAGGAGGAGGAGGATGAGGATGCTACTCATGACAATGGTACATGTGGTGGTGGTGATGATCATATATGATGATGAGTAGGTGTAGGAGGAGGAGGAGGAAGATGAGGAGGAGGAGGAGGAGGGGTATTTCGCATCACGTGGCCTAGAGGAGCAGTGGGAGCGGCGGCGGCTGCGCGTCGAGAGGCGAGCCCGGCTTCGGAAGCGCCCCCGCTGGGCCGAGGGAGACTGGACCTCGGCGGCGGAGAAGCCACCCAGACCCCCGTCGGGCCACGAGCAGTCTTCGCTATTTTTTTGGTCTCTCGGGGGGTCCTCGCTGGGCTGGGCTCTAGGGCCCTCCGACAACCTACTCGGAATGGATCGCCGACCCTGGCGAAGGGGTCGGAACCCTCGGGGGCCCCATGTGGAGCGCAAATCGTGCCGTGGGGGGCTGTTGGATGCCGATGCCGCCGCGCTTCCCGGAGAGCTCTGGTCGCCACGGCTGGCGTCTCTTCGAGGTTCTAGTCGGCGTGCGCTCCGGGAGAGGTCCGGGGAGTGGCAGAGGAGGAGGAGGAGGAGGAGGAGGAGGAGGAGGAGGAGGAGGAGGAGGAGGAGGAGGAGGAGGAAGGAGAGAACGAAAAGGAGGAGGAGGAGGAGCAGGAGGAGTATCCAGGACTGCCCACGGCTTCTCCGCGCTCGACCTGTCCGCAGTGTTCGGCGACTGCGGGGAGGACGTGGCAGTGGTGTCGGCTGGCTCTATTCGGCGGCGCGCAGAAGGCTTGGCTCGAGGGGGGGGGCGGCCTTTCAGAGGGCAGGGCGCTCCTGAAGAGCCCTCCGGCCTTCCAAGACAACATCTTCTTCTTTTTTTCCAAAACAACGCGTGGATTTCTCGGGTTGGCGCTGGGCTCCCCTGGCGGCGCCTCTGGAGCCGCCCCTGGTGCGCTCCGCGCGCCAGGGAGGGGGGGCCCAACGCATAATTAAGAAATCCGCGCGGAGCTTCGACACGGTATGCTTAGGCCGCTTTCCCCATACCCCAGAGGAGGACAAGCATGATGAGGAGGAGGAGGAGGAGGAGGAGGAGAAGGAGGAGGAGAGGGAGGAGGAGGAGGACAGGAGGAGGATGAGGAGGAGAAGGATGAGGAGGACAGGAGGATGAGGAGGAGAAGGATGATGAGGAGTAGAAGAAGGAGGAGGAGGAGGAGGGGGAGGAGGAGGGCCGTCAAACGTTTCTGTCTGTGCAGACCTTGCTTTCTCCGCTCTCGGATGCGCCCCCCGCCTCCTTGGGCGGCCGCCCCCCTCGTTCCCCGCCTCTTACGGGAGCGTAAAGCTCGAGTAAGCCAGATCTCGGGTTAACCGCCGTTTTTTGACGAGCGCGTCCGGATCTCGGGTTAGCCGAGGTTTTTTGACAGGCGCGTCCGGGAAACGTAAGACTCGAGTAAGCCGGATCTCGGGTTAGCCGAGTTTTTTTGACGAGCGCGTCCTGGATTTTGACGGTCTGGTTTTCGTGGGATGTTTGCAGCGGGAGTTCGCGTCACATTCCAGATTGGGTCTCGTCATGTACATGATGGCCCCGTCCGGCCAACCCGAGTCCCCCGTGCCCGAGTCTTGCGTCTCCCCGAACCTCCTTTGTGCGCGCCGCCAGTCTGTCACCGCGGAGGAGTTCGGGGAGCACTTCCAGGCGACATCCACTCCTGCCCTGCTGCGAGGACTGAAGAACCACAGTTTGCAGACACAGAGCTTGGCACCGCTCGGACGCGTTTTATTTTTCCGTTAGGACCATCGTGGAGCCTTTTGGATCATTTTGCCCAAGAAGCACGCGCGAGATCGCAACATGCACGGGGAATGAACGCCCGATCGACGGCAAGTTTATGTTCATGCAGTTGGTTGTTCCTCTAGAGGAGCGGCGAGCGACTGGCCCGCCATGAGCAGGTGGAGCGTTGCCGGCTTCGCGGACGCCTTCGGGCACCAGAAGATGGTGTGCGACCACCGCTGCGGGCTTGAAATGCGCATGGCAGACTTCTGGCACTACACGGAGCGCAGCATTGTCCAACCTGTCCCCATTCCCATTGGACCATCCTATCTCAGCCCCAACACGAAGGGGACAGCATAAGTTATGTCTGCAACTAGGAAGGTAAGTCGGCCCCTGGGGCTAAGACCATGCCATTGGGGATACTGCATCGTGTCGACGCGGCTGCGTCTGCGCGTCGGGCGGTCAAGGTGGGACGCCGGCAGTGCCCCAGAATCGACAAACATGGAACGACTTGGCGATCGAAGAGCCGCGGATCGTTCTAATTTGAACGATCCGCGCGGTGTCAGAAGCCAGCGCTGGGGTCGTCGCGACACCCACCTGCCGCACGTATGCTTTAGACAGGGTCCGTTTCGATCCGATCGATCCGATTCGATGCCAATTCCGGCCTGCCCGATCCGATTCAATTCCGATATTTCGACGATCCAATGCGGCCCGATGTTTACGTGGTGCTGTTTTGCATCATGGCGCAGCCGATCCGATTCGATTTCGACTCCGTTCCGATGCAGCCCGATCTGATGCACAGCTCGGTTCGATCCGATTTGCCGAGCCGATGCTGATCAAACGGTCCGCATGAGCACCGGACCGACGACGCGCCCCTGCACCACGGTTCGTGGGAGGTCCAGGAGTGAACGCCTCGAAGGGCCGCTGACCGTTCGAGGTCGAAGGATCCGCGCAGTGTCAGAAGCCAACGCTGAGGTCGATAATTACGGCGCGAACCTGCAGCAACCCCGGTGCTCCAGACACGGCTCCGCAAGCGGAAGCCGGCGGAAGGGCGGCGGAGGGTGCCGGGGGGAACAAAGCAGGGGCGCCCCCCGAGAGGTGGCAGCGTGTTTTACGGTCCGGGCCCCCGGAAGCCGCCGCACGCGACGCGCCCCTGCACCACGGCTCGTGGGAGGTCCAGGATGGAACGCCACATCATATGCGACGCGGCGCTGCAGCGAGAGCGGGTTGGGCACTGTGCCCGTGCTTTTTCCGTGCCCATTTTTCGGGCGTCCACGGTCAGGAGCACCAGACCGACGACGCGCCCCTTACTCGTATGGCAAAAAAAAGGATTGCAAAAACGAAGGGTTTTTTGCAATCCTTGTTTTTTTTGCAATCCTTGGGTTTTTTTTTGCAATCCTTCGTTTTTTTGCAATCCTTCGTTCAAGGAGCACCAGACCGACGACGCGCCCCTGTACCTCTTCGACCACCGCCTCGCCGAGTGCCCGGCCCTGCGGCCCCTGCGCGGCGACTACGCGGAGCCCGCGGCCCTGCCGGCCGCGGCCGACCTCCTGGAGGGCCTGGCCCCGGCCGCCTGCCCGCCGCGCCGCTGGCTGCTGGTGGGGCCGCGGCGGTCGGGGAGCGCTCTGCACAAGGACGCGAGTCGTAAGTCGGGCCTGTCCCTCTACAGGGGGGATATATTCAAAAATAGCGATGACAGAATCTGGGGACGATTTTTTGCTTCAAGTATCTTTGGACCATTTTGGTGCATTTGTTGGCTATTTCTTATGTTTCGTCCAAAATCCCCCTGTAGGAGGACAGGCCCGACTTAACGCGAGGGGGGGGTTCGTGCAGCAAAATGGGGGTTCTCCCGGCCAAAGGGTGGGGTCAGGGAACGAGCCCAGCTGGGTGCCCACGCTGCTCTCCTCCAGGATCCCGTTGGAGACGTGCTCCTCCCCACCCCTCCCTCTGCCCCTGAACCCGCCCTTGCGCGCTGGGGTCTGAGGTGGCCCACCACCTGGCTCCGAACAGGAAGGGGGGGAAGGGGCTCGAAGTTCTGGGGCCGGGAATGGTTTTTGCTTTTTTTCGGTTTGTGGGGGCCGTTTTCGGGTGTTTGGAATGTCAGAGAGGGATGTGGGGCGAACAATTGCACCAGATGGATCTTGGGATGAGTCCGGGGTCAGATTTTGAGCGGATTTGCCCGTATCCCATCTCCTTGACAGAATTTTCCCGGGGCCCATCCAGTTCAGATCCCCCAGGCGCCTGCAAGAAGGGCCCCCGAAAGAGTCGTTGGACGATGCCAACCGTTCGAGTACGAGATCGACAACATGATGGATGTATGCCCAAGTTGATTTGTTCGTCGAGCCTACACTGGAGATTCGTAGAAGCTTTGTAGATCTACGAACGTTCCACGTATTTCTCCGACGAACGCAGAAATGTTGGGCACATGTAAGTTAATTTTTGTAGTCGATCTCCTACTCGACCCGTGTAGAAGACCAGTTCGACGATGCACGCTCCCGCGCGTGCCGGCACGTGCGGCGGCGTGCATCGAGCTGCTCTGGTGCACGGTTGGTGCGGCCTAAGTCTGTGGGGATTCAGGGTGGCCGCACGGGGTTCAGTTTCGGCTCGTTCTCCGAGGATGTCTCGGTCGACTGGGGCCCCGCAAGGTCCCAAGACCGTGCGGTCATGCACCGTGCGGTGAGGTCCTCGGGGATTCCGGCGTCACCGCACGGTTTGTCACCGCACCGTCTCTAGGGCGACGAAAATTATTCATGTCCCTTGCTCCATGGCCAGGCCCATCCTGAACCCAGCAGCGGTGTGTACGCCACGCCCTCGTGGCTTGGCCAGGAGGGCGTATACACAGCTGCCGAGTTCAGGATGGGTCTGGCCTTGGAGCAGTGGATCTGTCTAGATTTCGTCGCCCCGCGTCTTGGGACCCTCGAGAGGACCCTTTGGGCACGTCCGCGTGGAACGCCCTCGTCGTGGGCACGAAGCTGTGGGTGCTGTTCCCGCCAGCGACGCCACCTGAGTGGCTGCTGCCATGTCCGAGGGGTGTCAGGGGAGACAGCGGCGGCCCCAGGCCCTGAGATCCGACGTCGCGAGGAGACTGCGACATCGTCAAAGATCATCAGTGGAGCCCTGCCCCTGATCTTCCAGAGTGCTAGAACATAAGCACTCCAGACCTAAAGTCCTATCTGGACTGTTTAAAACCACGGCTGGAATTTTGGTATTTGGGTCCAGGTGCTATTTTGAAGCCCTCAGGGAAGGTCAGGGGCCCCTGACCCTCCAGGAGGGCTAACAAACAGTACCTTGACCTGACTGCCCCATTTCCAGTCGTGATTCTTAGGCAGGTCTATACGCCTGGAGTGCTATGGGTTCTGAAGGCACGCTGGAAGGCCACGGGTTCTGGGCCCCGTCTTCGACTGCACGCAAGAGAGGCCCCTCGCCGGAGTGACCTTCTGCTGCAGGCACACGTGTTGGTTCCCGATCGCGGAACGAGGTGCGCCAGCAGCGGCTGGCGCGCCTGGTTTGGGCCCCCTCGCGCCCCCACCCTGAGGCCGCGCACCAAAGGCCGCTCTATAGGCGAGGGCCACTCTTTCGTGTAGCCGACATCTGCCTGCGGCATGTGTCGAGCTGCATCCCCTGACCTTCCAGAGTGCTGGACAAAACGCTCCAGACCTATAGACCTGTTTGGACTGCTTGAAGCCTCGACTGGACTTTGGGTATTTATGTCCGGGTGCTAGTTTTCAGCCCTCCTGGAGGGTCCGGGTCGATGCGTGGCGGCCCTGGGCCCCGAGGCCTGGCGAAAGCGCCCGGCGTGGACAACATCGGGGGGGGGGACAGAACCCCCCCCCTGACACGTCGATGAGTAAAGTGTCCGTTTTCGGTCCTCGAGAGGGCGCCGCGGCCGTCACTTTCCAGGCTGGCGCCCGCCAGGTTTGGGCCCGAGCTCGTTTTCACTCAACCACGTTTTGCCCAAAGGGGGTCCGGTCCGTCCCCGACAGCACTGCCAGGCCTGGATCTCGGGGGGGGGGCCCTCCTCGGGTCGTGGCGAAAGACTAGGGCGCGGCGGAAGGCCCCTGGGGCACCTCCGGGCCCGCGCCGGGCCCCGGGGCGCACCGGAGACGCAAGCGCATGCGGGAGGAGCATCGGGCGGGTGGTAGTGCGGGCTGGCTGGCCCGCACGGGGGGTGAAGATGCTTCACCCCCTGGATGGGGGCCCCACAGGCCCGCTTTCGGGGGCTGGAGAATCTCCACCCCCAGTTTCGGGGGTGAGGAGTCTTTGCATCCTCGATGGGGAGAGGAGATTCTTCAGAAGAGGGCCCCAAAGGTGGCCCTGTTGGGGTCCCTTTTGGGTCCCTGGCTGGGGCCCCTTTCGGCGCCCATTCCTGCGCCCCGCGTTCAGGCCACCCGCGTTAAATTGTACCACTCGCCCGAGACAAGCCGGTCCCAGGAAAGGGGTCGAGACCGCCCGGGGGGAGGGGGCGGGGGAGTCCACGCGGAAAGGTTCTGGCGTTCGGGGCCGGGGGGTCTCCCGCCGGCCCAAGCGCCCGCACCACACCAGTCCCTCTATGTGGACCCCGCTCGGGGTCCGTGCCCCAGCCGCTCTGTCGAGGCGGATCCAGCCGCGGAGGCCCAGAGTCGGGGGGGAAAGAAGCACACAGACGCAACTCATCGTCGACCTCCAGGAAAATGTTGGAAAATATCGGAAGCGGGGGGGAAGAAGGAAACCCCGAACACGTGGGAAAAGGTCGGGAGCCCAAGGATTGCTGTGTCTGCTTATCGGTGTGTCCCTGGGCCCCTCCGCAGAGGGAAGGTTGAGCAACTCGCGCCGTGGAGGGCGGCCGCCGTCTCGACCGGCCCGCCTCCGACGCCAGAGGGCCCGCGCGAGGGTGCCGACGACTCCGCCGCGCGCTGGTTCCTCCTCTGGTGGCGGCCCGAGCTGCGCGCCCGGGCCCGCGCCTGGCCCGAGGCGTCGGGGGCTCCCGTCGGGCCGGGCGAGACGGGGGGGAGGTTTGTGGGAGAGGGCGGGTCACGGAAGCTGCTGCGTGCAGCTGGTTTCGGCCCCACCGAGGGGCCCATTCCTCGATGCGTAGCCGCCTCTGGCGCCGGGAGGCGCGGGGAACATCAGCCACGTGAGCTGATTCTCACCCCCCTCTCCCTGTGCTGTCCCCCCCTTTCTCGCCCGACCCGATCAGCCAGAGCGCTGGATCCTGCAGGATCCTGCAACGCCAGGGCTGCGCTGACCCGGGCCAGCGTCGAGTCGGGCACGTCCTGTTACAGGAGGAACGTTCCAGATTGGCTGAGAAAAACCGTATTTGGATGATTTTTGGGCTCTCTGGATTATTTTTGAGCATGTTTGATTGTTTTTAAGGTTTCTTGCAAATTCCGCCTGTAGGAGGGCATGCTCGGCCTAAGGCTAGCGCGCAGGATCTTGCAGCATCTTGCAGGATCCTGCCAAGCCCGATGATCTGGGTTTGGACAGGCCCTGGTCAGTTGATCCCCGAAGGCACGGCTCGATGATCCTTGTGACGCGTGTGAGCCCAACATGTGTTTACCCCGTTCGGCAATTGCCAGGCCATCGCCTGGGCATCCTAGTTGGGGTCGGAGTAGATGGGGTCGGAGGATCGCGCTGCATCGCCGATGCATCGCCGATGCGGCTCGATGTTGAGCCCGATTTTCTCCGCGCTTGCGTCGCCTATGCATCACCGATGTCGCCGACGCATCCCCGATGCATCGCCGATGCCTCGCTGATGTATCGTCGATGCGGCGCGGTCCTCCGACCCCATCTACTCCGACCCCAACCAGGAGGCCTCTACATCGTCACACCATTAGCGTCGTATTGGAGGGCTGCGGTGGACCAGCACATGTTGGTGCTGACACGCGTTCTGAGGACCACTGAGAGGCACGACGGCCAGTGGAGTTCGTGCAGCGCCCAGGGGATGTAGTGTTCGTCCCTGCCCGGTGGTGGCACGCTGTGCTGAACCTGGAGGACGCGGCCGCGGTCACAGAACCCTAACTGCGAAACCCAGGCCTCAGCTGAGGCCTGGCTTTCGCAGTTGTTTCAAGCCCGGTGATGCTGCCTTGGGTCGGGCCCGGGACCATCACAGGTCGATCTGGCTCCATAATTTCCGCAGACAGAAGGGGTCTAGGGCTCCCGTCGTCATTTTTCGCGATGGTGCAATTTGTTTTTTTCGCGACGCCAGATCTCAGGTAAGAGCAGAGCACGTGCAAACATCATTTCCGGGCCTCCGGGGCGGTCGAACGTGGATCTGGGACGTAAGCATCACAGTCGGACCGAGGCATAAGACCGAGGTCGTTTCGGGAGGGTTTCCATATGTTCGTCGTGCTTGCTGGATGTTGTTGACCATCGAGGAGCATCTTGGCTCAAATTGCGAACAGATGCACGCACGACATCGGAAACATGCACGGGGAATGAGCGTCCGAGCGATGGCGAGCTTCCCGCAGTCGTTTCCCCGCGTCAGAGAGGACGCCCAGGGGTGTGAGGAAGGGGGATTGGGGGTCCAGCGGAGGCACAAGATATCTATGTTGGCCACCGGAAGCTACAGTTTCATTATGTGTTGGGATAGTGTTGTTGTCCTGGTTGTTGGTATTTGCAGTTCTGTGCGTGTAAGGATACAGGTCAGTCTACCACGAGTATTGCACCGCGCAGTGCTGCGTCGCGCTGCGCTGCGCCGTGCCCATCGTGGTTATCGTGGTCGCCACTGCTTCCAGTGCCGTTCTCGGTCCTCTAAGCCCTGAGGACACCATCGCGGTCACGCACAACTTCTGCAACCGGTGGAACCTGAAGCACGTGTGGCGCTGCACCGCGGCGACGCACCCCGTCCTGCACGGGCGCCTGCAGCGCCACCTGGGCGCCTCGCACCCCGAGCTGCTGCGCGCCGCGGCCGCCGCGTGTGCCGCGGGCGCGGGCGTGGACGAGCACCGGAGGGCCTGCCGCCGCCTCCGCCGTGCCCTGGGGTGCTGCCGGGTGCCGGTGGCGGGGCGTCCACGGGGTGAAGGAGCCGCCCCCCATCTGTGTACGTACGGTTGCGAGCTTCTAGGCGAGTGTGTGTGTGTGTGTGTGGCGCGAATGTGCGAACATGTTGGTGTCCATCATCCATCGTTCTGACCATGTTGATGTCCACTGATCTCCATCATCCATCGTTGATATTCATCATCCATCATCCATGTTGATCTCCATTGATCTCCAGTGCGAAAGCCCCATGTTGATCTCCATCATTCATCGTTGTAACCCTTCCAAGTGATACAGAACGTGCGCGGCGCTTAGGCGAGAACCCCATGTTGAAAAGGTACCGCCCTCCAGAATTGTAAGAAGTGCAGTGTTTCAAGCAAATTTGCGCGGCGCTCAGACGAAAAGCCCGTTTTTGAGCGCCGCCCCTCCATCTGTGTAATTGTCGCAATCCTTCAACTGCGGCGCTAAGACGGGAGCCGCATGGTGAAAACCATCCTGACAGTTCCATCCTAGTGACTGTCCAAGTCTCAGGCGAAACGCCCAGCTCGCCCTACAAACACGTCTTCTGGTGCGCCAGGGAGGAAATTTCTGTAAGGGAATCGACGGGTGGATGATGATGATGATGATGAGGAGGAGGAGCACCGGCACCAGGAGCTAAGGATGTCGAGGAGGAGCAGCAGCACCAGGAGCGGGGAGCGGGGAGTGGGGGGGGTAGCAGGAGGAGGAGGAGGAGGAGGAGGAGGAGGAGGAGGAGGCGGAAGGGAGGATGAGAAGAGGAGGAGGAGGAGGAGGAGGAGGGACGAGGAGGACGACAGAGGAGGAGGAGCAGAAGTGGAGGAGGAGGAGGAGGAGGAGTAGGAGGAGGAGGAGGAGGTGGAGGCGGAGGAGAAGAATAATGAGGAGGATGAGGAGGAGAATGAGCGAACTGCCCCCGCGCGCGATCGGCGGCGTTTGTCGCGGCAGCACTGCCCATGCGCTGCTCGTCAATCCCCCCCTTTCTGGGACGCCGCCGTTTTTTGTTTGTCCTCCTCTCCTCCCTCTTCCTCCTCCTCCTCCTCCTCCTCCTCCTCTCCTCCCCCTCCCCCCTCCTCTCTTCCCTCTCTCTCTCTCTCTCTCTCTCCTCCTCCTCCCTCCTCCTCCTCCTCCTCCTCCTCCTCCTCCTCCTTTC